AGTACTGGGATTACAGGTAACTATCACCATGCCTAGCTTCCCATTTTTCTAAAATAAATTTTATTTTGAGACAAGATCTTGCTAAATTGCTCTAGCTAGCCTCAAACGTGCAATCCTCCTGCCTCGGCCTCTTGAGCAGCACAGATTACTGGTATACACTAACATGCCCGGGTTAGGAATATTTCTGATCAGATTTTGTCACTGAAAACCTACCATGAAGACTGGCAGACCCTCCCTGTCAGAATGAAGAGCTGCTGTCCGTTAACATGGCAGCACCAGTATGTCAAGAGCACCCCTACTCCTAGGGGCTGTGGCACAACATATCTGCCCATCACTCCTTGGACTGATGGCTCATGAATAAGGTATCCAGAGTAAGTGGCCTGGTTCAAGGCACTCGGTCTGCCCCAAGCTCTACACTGGGTTGAAGAGATGGCAGCTTGCAATTCTGCTGGGGTAGCACCCTCAGCGGACCACCACATTAGACAACATGGAAGCCCAGCAAGGTGGCACTCCAGGTTTGCAGGAACTAGAAGCCAAGCAGGCTGCCTAAGGTGCTCTCTGACTGTTCTCAAGGAGGGGCTGCAGGTGGCTGTGGAGCACTGAGCCAAGGAGCCAAGCGCATGATCACTAGAGGCCCTGTCTCACGTACCGTGTGAGGTCAGCCAACTTAGGGTTGCTCCGCTTATCTCACCCGTCAGCAACAAAGCACGGAAGGGCTTTAGCTGTGAACCAGAAGCCAGTCTCCTCTCCCTTCCCTCCTGTAGGTGGTGGCATAACCCTCACTTTGTGTTAGTTTGGGCCTCAGGAAACCTACCATTACCTAGAAAGGAGTCCTGAAAGGTAGCAAGTCTCAAGCTAAAGCAGGACAGGTGGCAATGGGCTGGTCTGCAGCAGGTGACCCAGGACAGAGCTCAGGGACACACTCCCAGAGACACTGATTGTCCCCACCAGCTCAGTTTGTTGCCGTGGTGGAGGGCTTGCTGGTTTCCATGTAAACCAACAATGTGCACATCAGCTTTCCAGGTGAACCCAGGGATTCATCAAGATCCCCCAGTAAGGCCTGCACATCAGGTGATGTGCGGAACCAGTGTGAACACAGGGACTACAGTTCATCACACTTTAAAGCTGCTGCCTCAAACAGGAGGAAAACGTGGAAACAAAACTTCTGTAAGTGGGGGGCTGCGGGGGGAGGTTGAAAGGAGAGGAGGGTAATGGGAAGAAAAAAAAGAAGCAACAAGATATACCATGTGCAGGTACAAATTCCCTGGAATGAATGCGATCACTATGTACCTGTACCGATGTACATAATGTACCAATAGGAGCGGGCATGGCAGCGCACACCTGTAATCCCACCACTGGGGACACTGAGGCAGGAGGATTCTTGTAACTCTGAGACCAGCCTGGCCTATGGAGTGAGCCCAAACTGCACAGTGAGAAGTGAGCCCCTGTCTCAAAAAGACAAAAAAATTTTAAAAATTAAAAATAAAATGTACTGGGGCTGGGGATTTAGCTCAGCGGCATAAGCGCCTGCCTTGCAAGCAGGCAGTCATGAGTTCGATCCCTGGTACCAATAAAAAATGAAAAAGACCAAAAAAAAAAAAATAATAATAAAAATTAAAAAAATAAATAAATAAAATGTACTAATGGGGCCGAGGTTGTTGCTCAATGGTACAGCGTCTGCCTGGTAACTGTAAGGCCCTGAGTTTGATTCCTGGTATCAAAAAAAAGTATAAAACCCAAAAGCCTGCCTTCTCCAATGTAGGACAGAACTGACCAACACAGCCTGGTACTAAGAAGCCACTCTTCCTATAGCATCACATGGACCCTAAAAAGGTACTCTAAGCTGGTTATGGTGAAGCAGCACACAGCTGTAAGGCCAGCACTTGGGAGTCTGAGGCAGGGGATCACCACGACTTCAAGGCAAGCCAGAATTACTAGTGAGACCTTGCCTTAAAAGAAACAAAAATGGTGCTCAGGGGAGATGGAGACACAACCACCAGACACCTCCACAGATCACCCAGGACCTCAGGCACTTTCCTAACTCTCAGCTGTGGTGGTGTCTGCCCAGCAAAAACACCCAAGATGAAGGAAGGGCCAAATCTGATCCCCATGGCCCAGCCAGAATCCCCAGTACCAGCCATGTCCTTCCTTGAGACAAGGTCTGGCTGTGCTGCCAGGTTGGTGCTGAACTCCTGACCTCACGTAACTCTCCTGCCTGCTTCCTAAGTAGCTGGAACCACAGATGCGTGCTACTGCGTCCACTTAAGACTCCTGAAAAAGACTAAAACAAGCCACGAACCTGGAACTCATCACCAACACCTCTCCCTGGAAGAGGCTGAAGACTAAGAGAAACAGTGATTAGTGAGTTAACCAATGCAGCCTTGTGGAGAGGGAGAATTTCCTCATGATCTATATATGGATAGAAAGCATTTCCAAATTCTCAGCAACCATGCCAGCACATTTTATTTCATGAAATCATAATCCTCATCATTAAAGGCTGACATGTATAATGCTAGAAAAAATGTGAAACAGTGATGAGAAGGAGGTTAAGGGAGTCCAAAAACATGGACAAAGCCTGGAACACCACAGAGCCACAGCCAGCTGAGGTAGCGTGGGTCTCCTACACTCAGGAACCCAGACATGCAGAGTCATTCTCAGCGAACACCATTTGCCACTATGGTAATTCCTTCCTTCTTCCCTATGTGCAGTCTTAAAAATCTGTCTTAATCCCAAACCTTCCATTTTTTCCAGAACTGCAGAGTCCGTGATAATTGTTTTCTATACCTGATATGATCTGAATGTCCCTGTCAAAACTCACACTGAAATTTAATCCCCACTGTGAAGTATGAAGGTGGAATCTTACTCCAGCTATGACATTTGGAAATCTAGGCCAGCGGTAGTGAACCTATGGAATGCATGGCATTTTTCTTTAAAGACAAAATGAAGGTGGAAAATTACAATTTTAAATAAAAGCCTGCCCATGATGCCCTCCAACACCAAGCAGACATGACCAGCAGGCCTGATAACAGAACTCTTCTTCCTTTGTGTAAACCCCCATCTTTGCTGTCTTTGTATAACTGATGGCCTTACAATGTGACTTGAAATGTAACAAGACATTCCTTTCTTTGTATAACCCATGCTTTGTTTAAGTGAGAGCCTTATTATGTAAGCTAAAATGTTTAAATTCCTTCAGCCATACAAGATGTCAACCAACCCTCCAATCACATGCACCAAATCTGCCTATGTACCATCCTGCTTATTATTCTTTTAAAAGCTCTGAAATCAAAAAAAGAAAAAAAAAAAAAAAAAACAAAAAACTCTGAAATCCCACCGAGTGGGGCTCTGCCTCGGTTCTTTGGGAGAGAATCCAGTCAGATGCCCACTGCCTCCTTAACCTCTTCCCTGTTTTCTTTCCCTCTGTTTTCCATAACAAAAAGATGTTAATGTATGGGTTGTTTTTTTAAATCTAAAACCTCACTCTTTTAGTTTAACTTCAGTGTTGGCATTCTGAAACAAACGAGTGAGTTTTAGGCTGCAGTTTGGCACTCAACTCTAAAAGGTTTGCCATCACTAGTTTAGGCTAAAGGAGGCCATAGGGGTGGGGCCCCAGGCCAATGGATCTGTGGCTTTTTAAAGAGGAGTGGAGATACGAACTTAGACATTCTGCCTGGCCGTGTGCTGGCCTATGTGACTACAGAGTTGCCACCAGCAAGAAGGACCTCTCCAGATGCAGCTGCGGGTCCTTCCTCTTCCCAGCCTTCTGAACTGTGCAGCAAATGAACCTTTATTCTCAGCTCACTGTGGTGGTACCTGTGTGTAACTCAGCATTCAAGAAGTTGAGGCAGCAAGACTGTTGCTGGTTGGAAGCTTGCCAGTGTACAGAGTGAGTTCAAAACCAGCCTGAACTTCATAGCGAAAGCCTGCAGCCTACATCAAAAACCAAGAACAAAACAAAAACAACAAACACCTCTGTTAAGTTATTGAGAGCACATTATTCAGTTATTTCAAAAGAAAACCTCAGAGACCAACTAAAATTAATCAAAGAATGATCCAAACAAATTTAAAAATTCTGATCAAAGTATCTGTAAACTGGGCATGGTAGCACACTCCTGTAATCCCAGCAGTCAGGAGGCTGAGGCAAGAGGATCATTGTAAATTCGACACCAGCCCGAGCTCAAAGTAAGCCCAAGGTCAGCCTGAACTTCATAGTGAGATCCTGTCTCAAGAACAAAAAAAAAAAAAAAAAAAAAAAAAAAAAAAAAAAAAGAAAAGAAAAAAAATGATCTAAAAAAACAGGCCCCAAGCTGGGCATGGGGGTGCACACCTGTGAGACCAGCAGCTGAAAGGCTGAGGCAAAAGGGTCTCAAGTTTGAACCCAGCCTCGGCAACCCAGCAAGACTTGTCTCAAAATAAAAAATTTTAAAAAGGACTGGGGATAAAGCTCAGTACAAAGGCCCTGGGTTCAATCCCCAGTATCACCAAAAACAAAGCACAACTATTATGATGCTTGCTTCAGGACTTTCAGAAGTCTGCATAAATGAACGTAAGGCCTTAGTTAGGGCTGAGGCTATGGTTCAGAAGCGCCATACCCATGCCTCACTGACAAGCCAGCACTGGTTTGGCACATTCACAACAGAGGCTTAACTTTATGTCTTGGCTGCCACACGGCTCTGGTTTGAAGTCAGTTGTTCTCACTGGCTTGAAGCACTGTGGTACAGGCAAGACTGGCCCAACGAGCAGCTTGGATCACCTATGGTGGCTCATAACTGATATGAATAGTACTGTGTTACTTTTTATCCCCAAAGCTACAAAAGCAAAACACCAAAACACCTCAGCTGTCACGCCATTCCCAAACCAGTCAGTAAACACACTGGTGGACAGGGCATGTACACATGGCCAAACACTACCGCACGGTCTACGAGGCCCAGCAGGCTGGGCCGCCAAGCCCCTTACTCGCGGCCAGGTCTCCCCTGAGCTTAGGCCCCAGGAACAGGCCTCACCAGGGCAGGCGGAGGTCAGCATAGGCAATGCGCGCTGCTCGTCGCTGTGCTGATGGTATCGACGCACGAATTCTCTCTGACTCTCCAGGATGCTGAAATCCGCAGCTATCGCCATATCAAACACATAGTGCACCCCTGCAGGAAGGAGGAGAGTGTGGATTCAGCACAGCATGAGGGCACACATGGCCCAGCCTGCCAGCGGCCTCATCTCTGCTGCCCTGCGTGGAGACAGACTTAGGGAACGGGGTCTGTGGTGCCTGTCTCAAGAGCCGGCCTGTTTTCTGTCAGTGATGGTGCTGGGTCAGGACATGCACTGCTGAGTTACACCCTCACCTGTTTTGAGATAGGATCTCACTAAATTGCCCAGGCTGGCCTCAAACTTGTGATCCTCCTGCTTCAGCTTTCTCAAGGCGGAATATGTCACTGCGTCTGGCTACACGTTTTTTTCTTTTGTGGTACAGGGATTGATCATAGGTGTCCTCCACCACTGAGTTACACCCTAGACTTCTTAAAAATGTATTTGGACATAGGGTCTTGCAGTGTTACCCAGGCTAGCCTCCAACTTGTAATCCTCCTGCCTCAGCCTTCAGAGGAGCTGTGACTTTAGACACATACCACTGCACCTGGGTTAGTGTTTGTTGTTTTTCAACACTCAGGAGGCTGAAGCAAGAGGATGTCTGTGAGTAGGTGACTAGCCTGGGGGTACATGGTGAATTTACAGCTAGCCTGAACTACATAGCAAGACTCTTTCAAAAAAAACCTAACAAAAAATGTTAAGTTTTAAAGAATTGTAGGACTTTTTTGGTACCGAGAATCAAACTCATGACCTCACACACAGCAGGGCAGATGCTGTGCCAGAGAGCTACATTCCCAGCCTCAAGAGCAGTGTTAAGGAAAAATCAGTTCCACTAGAGATACCTTCATTATACCTATCACACTCAATTACTTTTTTTTGTTTTTTGAGACATACTCTGTGTAGTTTAGGCTGGCCTCATACACATGGCAATCCTCCTGCCTCAGCTTCCCAAGTGCTAGGATTACAAGTGTGTGTCACTGCACCCAGCTTCAGTTACATGTCTTTCACCATGAAACCATACAACAACCAGCAACAATGGTCTACGGTCAGCTCAGCCAGCCCAAGGCTCTCTGAAGCATGCAGCCATGCCTGTGATATCCTCGGGGGTGCTGCAGCCTGCCATGCCCAGTGCTGTAGGCTGCTTCTCACATTTAAGAACTTGTTCTGCTGGTGCCTATGCTATGCATCACCTTATTATTAATCCCAACATCTGTACACCTTTGAAAACCCATTATGGAGCCAGGTATAGTGAAGCTTGCCTGTAACCCCCACACTCTGGGAGGCTGAGGCAGAAGGGTCACCAAGTTCCAGCCTAGCCTGGGCAGCTTGGTGACTTAGTGAGACCCTGTCTCAAAATTTAAAAAGTGAAAATAAGAAAGGCTGGGAATGTGGCTCAGTATGAAGGCCTGATGTTTAATCCCTAGTCAGCATCACCAGAAGCCACGACAGTACACCAAGGCTCACTGGTCAATCACTCACGTCCTCCTTTCCTGCACCTGTCCACTGACTGCACAGCCAGGACCCAAGGGCTCTGTGAACCCCACCGCACACAGACAGACACAATGGCTGACGTAACAGCTAGTGCAGAAAGTCCAGCCTGCAGGAGTGCAGGTGCAGAAGCGTGTGCATCTTTGAGGCATCATTCCAGTGTGGACTGCGGAGGCCAAGTTTTGTATTTTGTTTTTTTGAGTCTTACTGTGTAGCTCAGGTTGGCCTTGAACTCGTGACTCTCCGATCTCAGCCCCCAGGTGCACTGTCATACTCAGCTTGCTATGTTTTTTTTCAGTGGTACTGGAGACTGAACTAGGACCTCTGTGTAGAGTTATAGCCCCACCTCATCCCCCCCTTTAAATTTTGAGACAAAAAAACTGTCTTGCTTTGTCACTAACTTGACTAGGCCAAGAATCTGATCCTCCAGCTTCAGCCTCCACTGACCGTATTCTTAACTGATCACCTTTCACTCACTTTTCACACAAAGTGCACACCGCTGTTCCCTCCCCACACTGCTCTCAGGAGAGCTTTTTGGTTTTTTCTTCTTTTGAGACAGGGTTGCGCTGTCATTCAGGCTGCCCTTGAGCCATTGGCAATCCTGCCTCAGTCTCCTCCAAGTGCTAGAGTTACAGGCATGTGCCACCATGCCCGGTTGAGAAAGCTTCTTTGGGAAAGTGGGCACAAACACTTCAGATGTGACTGGCACACACAGTGTGTGGGAGTGGGTGGGTGTTTCACATGGATGCTGCTGGACACATGGGAGAGCCTCCTACACCACGTGTCTGTTGTCAGTGCCTGCCGGGGCTCAGCCCTTGCTGCAACAAAACATCCATGGGGGCAGGCAGGCTAAGTGACACCCTCGAATCCCCCAGAGGCCTCTCAGGACAGGGGCCCCGGCATCGGAGAGTTTTCCTACAGGTCTGCCGTCCCTCTGGCCAGGTAGACTGTGCCCCAGAGCAAGGGTGCATCACGCCCTCCCACTATCTGCCCAGCACCACCCAGGGCCACTCACCAAGGCTCTTTAGGAAGCCACACAGTCGTCTGGATGCATCAGTGACACTGAGGTTCAACTTAGCAGCAAAATAAGGCAAAGACTGGGGACATACAGACACGACCAGCACTTTGTGCTTTGAGGTATCACATTTCTAAAAGAAGAATAGAGAATAATGTCATATTATATGGTTACATGAGAAGTGAGAGACACTTTGATGAATGAGTGAGAACAGAATCCAACAGATGCTCTGTGTAAATACCAATAGATAAATAGTAGCAAACCTAAGAAAACAAAAGGAAAATACAATTAAAGATGAAGCTATGCCAGGCATGATAGTGCACACCTATAATCCTGGCACTCTGGGAGGCTGAGTCAGGAGGATCACTACAAATTTAAGACTGGGCAGAGCTAAATAGTGAGTTCAAAGCCAGGCAACCACATAGTGAGGCCCTGTCTCAAAATAAACAAATAAAAGTAAATTCAGGCCCAGCCTAGGTAATTTTATGTGAGCCTATCTTCGTTTTTTGTTTGTTTTTGGTACCAGGAATCAAACTCACAACCTTGAACTTGCCAGGCAGGTGCTTACACCACTGAGCTAAATCCCCAGCCCTGTGTGAGCCTATCTTAAAATAAAAAAAGGAGTAGGCCTCAATGTGAAGGCCCTGGGTTCTATCCCCAGTACTGCAAATGAGTAAATAATAAATATGGCTGGAGATAAACAGCTCAGTCACAGAGCATCCCTGACTGATTTTTTCCCACTCGTACTGACCGCAAGACCTTTCTACTGAGCTATATTTTACCTTTTAAACTTTTTTAAGACAGTGTCCTTACATAGTCAAGGCTGGCCTCAAACTTGCTTTGATCTTCCTATCTCTGCCTCTTGAGTACTGGGATTATGGCCTGTACCACCATACCTAGTGGCTATCTTATCCTTTTTAATTGTGAAACTGGGTCTTACAAACTTGCTAAGTCGCCCGGATGTATTCCAACTTACGATGTTCTTACCTCAACCTTCCAGGGTGCTGGGATTCTGAGCAGGCACCACTATACCTGGCTCAAAGGTACCTGTACCTGAATCTGACGCCAAGAGTGGGTGGGATGGCTGGATATAGCCCCACATGGTGCACTAAGATAAACTGCAGTGCTGCAGCAGACTTCATGGTACAACACAGCTGTGCTGCTGTTTCCTGAAGGAGGGAGCATAGCTGAGATGGTGGCCACACGCCAGAAGGGTACATCCAGATACCACTAATGGTGACAACAGAAGCCACGTTTCAGTTGGAACCATAAGAAATGGCGAATGGCTGGTCTAAGAAGATGCCAGAGGGTGAGTGACAAACACTGGGAAGCTGCTTGGCTCTCCTTCGGGTGGTGACACTCCTGTGAGATAGCATGTCCATCCCCAGGACAGCACCACAAGCTAAGGCCCACAGCACTATCATCCTTCTGTTCTTTCCCTTTTGCTTATCCTACTGAAGGCCAGTGATGCCTGGCAGTTCTGTGAGACAGGCCAGCAGGGAGACACTGGAGCGGGGAGGCTGAGGACCACACTTCCCAAGGTGGAGACGGGCTCGGGAAAAGGAGTACTCCAGCAGGGGACTTCGATGACACAGCTTTGAAAAGCTGTATGTGCCTCTGATGGTGCCACAGAGGCTTCTGTGTACCAAGAGACTTCTCTCACCCTGACATCCACCCCCCGTCCTCAGGCTGGCTCCCCAGGCCCTGTCGGCGAGAATCCAGGGCACCATACCTTATTAAGGTTCAGGACCCGGAAGAGGTCTTTGGCATTTTGCTGAGAAAGCTGGGCTCCTTCCTCGGCAGTTACGCAGCTGTCACATGCTAGGCAGTCACTCAATAGTATCTTGGCATCAGCTAATTTATGGAATTCTCCCTTCTGTGGAAGAAATGACACCTGAGTTAACATGTGCTCTTTAGGAAGGATTTCAGCAAAACATGTCTCAGTAAACAGATGATGCTAGGTGCCAGGCCTGCCACTTGGGGGGAACAGTCTGGTGTGAGCAGCATGTGGTGGTGGGACACAAGGCATGGCACCCTGTTCACAAGGACACAGAGGACAAGAGGAGAATCAGAACCAGACTGCCACGTGCAGATGAGATTGCTGTATGCCCGCCACTTCCTCCAGGGTCCTGTCCATCCCCTGTCCACTTCCTCCCTAGTCCTGTCCATCCCCAGGACAGCACCACAAGCTAAGGCCCACAGCACTATCATCCTTCTGCTCTTTCCCTTTTGCTTATCCTACTGAAAACCAGTAGGCATGCACCACGAAGGCTTGGCTTCCCTGCCTGGCTCCTCAGGCTCTGCAGGCACTGGACTCCCCTAGTCCCACAGTTTGCTAAGCGCTCTCTGTCCAGGCTCAGGAGGTTATGCACAGCTCCCTGTGGCTTCAGGTTCTCCCCTTGCCTCTGCAACAGATCCTCCAGCCAACCAGGACTGAACTGCAGGCACTCACACCTGCCTCTCCCCCACCTCAGCAGGGCAACTTCTCACCCGGATACTGACAACACAAAACCTCAGCCACTCTGACCTTTTTACCTCTCCTTCCTACCTGTGCCACAATAGTTCCCAGAGATCTGTGAAAGTACCAACCACCTTTCTACTTGACAGCAGACTTCCTCCTGGAAGTCCACAAACCTGCCCTTGTCTGCCTGGTCTCCCTCACAATCCTCCTTGGTGCTCAGGTCCATCCAGGTAGACACTGGATGACCCTCTGCAGGAAGAGCTCCCTGAGAGCTATTTTCAGGGTCCTGGGCTGGACCCTGGTGGTCAGCTCTGAGTGCTTGTCCCCTGCTCTGTTGGTCTTACACCTCAGTCTCCACAGCACTGGCGCACAAGGTAACCTGACAGATGCCTGGCAGGTAAAATGGCACCTTAGAACTTAGCCTTCATGGTGCATGCCTATAATCACAGCACTTAGGAGAGTTTGAGGCCAGTCTGAACTACATAGATAGACCTGTCTCAAAGAAAGAAAAAAATAAAAAGGAGAATTTTAGTTTTGACCAGGGAATCTGGGTATGGTGGCACACACCTGTAATTTTACCATGCAGCAGGCTGAGGTAGGAAAATTAACGTAAATTTGAGACCAGCCTAGGCTACATAGTGAGTTCAAGCCAGCCTGAACTAAAGAGGAGACCCTGTCTCAAAAAATATTTCATTTCACTGAATTTCTCATACTAGGCTTAGACTTAGAATCCTCCTGTCTCAGCTGCCCAGAGTGCTAGGGTTACTGGTATGTACCACCATGCCTGGCTTCTAGGGTTTTCTAAGAGAAGATGTGACACTATCCTCCCACACCACATCCTTCTCTGTGAATTGGGGACACTTGTGGGGCACATCTCAAACACTTGTCCACATGAGCATGAGATGAGAGTGTATCTAAAGCCCAGCGCAGTTTGTGCAACAAATAAACATAAACCACCGCTCACAGCTAAGGAGAATTGATGTGCAAAAGTAATAAACTATTGAGAGAAAAGGCTATTTACAGATAAAGTTTAGTCATGAAATTTGTTATTGATTTATTTATTTTTTTGGTACCAGGGATCAAACTCACAACTGTGCACTTGCAAGGCAGGGCTTATGCCACTCAACTAAATCCCTGGCCTGAAATTTGTTATTTTATAGCTGTTCTATCTCAACTCCCATTTCATGGAATGAAAGTTTCCATTAAAAATATCCAAGGTTAGCCAGGCGTGGTGGTTCACGCCTGTAATCCCAGCACTGGGGAAGCTGAGGCAGGAGGCTCATTGGGAATTCGAGATCAGCTTGGGCTACAAGTGAGTTCAAGGCCAGCCTGAACTGCATAGAGACCCTGTCTCAAAAAGACAAAAAAAAAAAAAAAAAAAAGAAAACATCTGAGGTTTTATAGGGCACAGTAGCACATTCCTGTAGTCCTAGTTGCTCTGGAGGCTGAGGTAGGATAATTTTTTTTTAATTTTTTGAGATATGGTCTCCTGTGTAGTCTATGCTAGATCTCAACTTGCAGCACTCCTCCTATCTCAGCCTCCCAAAGTATTGGGATTACAGGTGTGCTCCATCATGCCCAGCTTGAGACAGGAGAATGTTAAGTTTGAGGCTAGCCTGCACAACAGAGTGAGACTCTACCTTAAAAAAATTAAAGAGGGGGCTGGGGATTTAGCTCAGCGGCATAAGTGCCTGCCTTGCAAGCAAGCAGTCGTGAGTTCGAACCCTGGTACCGATAAAAACAAAAAAGACAAAAAAAAAAAAAAATTAAAGAGACAGGAGTGGTGGTGCATTTCTGTAATCCCAGCAATTCAGGAGGCTGAGACAGGAAGACTACTTGCAGAGACAGCCTGGGTGGCACAGTGAGACCCTACCCTGTCTCAAAGAAAGAAAGAGCAAGCTGAAATGTAGCTTGGTTGTTAGCACGTTTGGATTCAATTCCCAGTACATACACAAATACCCTACACACAACAGATCTGAGGTGTAAATATCATGCCACCATTTTTTTGTTGCTAAAGTAGAGTTTTGGCTTAGTATGGTTGAGAAGACAGGACATGAGGTATTAGTGGACAGTCCTACATGTGGCTTTTAGTGTGCCTTCAATTTTACTTCAGTCTTTCCTTTTTTTCGGAGTCAGGTTCTTGTTATGTAGTTCAGGGCAGCCTTGAACTCACCATGTAGCCCAGGGTGGCTCTGAACTCAGTGACCCTCCTGCCCTGGTTTCCCTGAGAACTGGGATTACAGGTGTGGGCCACCACGCTGGGATGTACTTCAGTCTTTTTTCCAGCATCATGCCGAGCATCATGACACGGGCCTCCAACCAGTAGAAAAACAGTAGCAGCCTCTTACTTTAGGGTGACATAAAACCAAACAATCACCGGGCGTGGTGGCACACTCCTGTAATCCCAGCACTTGGGAGGCTGAGGCAGGTGGATTGTGGCAAGTTGGAGACCAGCCTGGGCTACAAAGTGAGCCCAAGGCCAGCCTGAACTGCATAGCAAAACCCTGTGTCAAAAAGACAAACAACAAACAGACAAACAATCTACTTGCCTCACAAGACTCCTGGGCCAGACTTCGTGCCTCAGCTGACACATTCTCCTCCTCATCGGTTTTTGTCTTTTTACTACATTCCTTAAAAAGGCAAGAGAACGTTGTTAAACAACAGCTCCTAACCTAGCTCCTCTTGTTCAAAAACCACACACACTGTGTATGTACTAAGCTTACGTCCGGAAATCTTTTTTACAGAAATAAAAGCAGGTGTCTGCAAACGATAACCCTTCCGCGCCTGTACAGTTGACAGCGAGGAAGAGCTAGACGCGGTGTGGCTTTCCCCTACCAGCTTAATGGGCAACTTCCTCAGACCAAGAAACATTTAGCATACGGTGTGACTATTACAAAGCATGAACTAGAATTATATGCAATTCTCTCATATTGCATTAAGTGAAAAACAAAACAGCAAGTTATAGGCGGGTGCGGCGACGCACGTCTGTAATCCCAGCATTCTGGGAGACTGAGGCTGGGAGCTCGAAAATTCGAGCCTAGTCGGGACCACCTGGAAGCTTAGTTAAGACACCGTCATAAAATGAAGAAGGGACGGAGATGTAGCTCAGTGCAAAGGCTACTGAACCCCACACCCATAAAGCTGGAGCGCAGCATTCACGCTGTGATCCACCTTCTGTCACAGCGTGGAAGCGCTGCGGGCCCGGTGTTGCCGGACCGAGCGTTCCCGTTTTCCCGTCCGTTTCAGAATAGTTCTAGCAGTCACTGCGGACCTGGAGGCCCCGAGGGTGCGCGCCACCCCCGCCGCTCTGGGCCTGCCGGACCGAGGGCGCACAGAGGGCGTATGCACAGCCGCGGGAGCGGCCTCAGTTCGGCCCACAGCGGACCCAGCGCTCGTCCCCGCGCCGGTCGGGCCGGTGGCTGCCTGCCCTCCGTCCTCCACCCTCCGCCCTCCGCCCTCGGTTCCAGCTCCCGCCCCCGCGCCGAGGCCCACCTTCCGCGTGCAGTGCTCACACTTCATCTGGAGCAGGGCGGGAGGGAGGCAAGAACGCCCCAGCAGAGGAGAGCAGTAAAAGACGCGCAAACAGCTGCCCGCCGCCGGCCGCCCTTTGTTACCTTCGCTCTGGATCGGCCCCACCCCAAAGGCCGAGCTCAGCCAATGACAGTGCTTAGATACGAAGAGCCACACCTTAGGCCAATAAGAGACCCACTGAGGCCGCTGCTCCTGTTGCTGCACCCCACCCCGCGCCCCACCTTACGGCTCTGCTTAGGCCAATGAGAGTCCCAGAGCGGGGCGAGCCCGGACCCTCAGCCGTTCAGAGTACGCGGGGCTAGTTTTAGAACTTCTGTCAGAAGTTGCCCGGGTTGGCATCATCAGTTTGTTTCTGCCAGGTCTACGTTTCGTAATGGACAGCGCGGAAGGAAGAGGGAATGGGTAGTCGCAGAGGCCAAGTCCTAGAAGCAGTTCCAAGGTTTCTAGGTTAAGAGGCCCGGTCCCCAGCCGCTCTATCAGGACGGCGTCTGATGCTCACCTCTCTTGCTGTTCCTCGTGGGCGGAGCTGGCGCCACCCTCGCCAGACGCCATAACTAACCCACGGCCTGTCACGTAGGCTCGGCGAAGCGGCAGTGCGCGTGCGCTAAAGCCTCAGTTCAGTCGCCGGTGGTTCTGCCAAGCGCGCGTCCCAGCATTAGAAAGAAAAATTTTTAGAAAAAAAAAATTTTTTTTTTGAGACAAGGTCTTGCTATATATCCCAGGCTGGTCTTGAACTCGTGGAGATCTTTCTGCCTAGCCGAGGGCTGGTATTATAAGCATGCGCCACCACACCTGGCTTCATTATTGATTTAGCCCCTCCCTAGGACTGGCGGATTTTGGTGCTCGACTAATCTGGTTAGGATGTCCCCCCTCCTTTTTTTTTTTTTTTTTTGTACAGAGAATTGAACACAGGGCCTTTGCCCTAAATTATGTTCCTGGTTCTTTTTAAATTTTGAGACTGGGTTTTGCTAAATCGCTCAATTGCTCAGGCTGGGGTTGAATTTGCCGTTCTCCTGCCTCAGCTTCCTAGAGTGCCAGGATTATAAGTATACACCACTATCCCCAGCTGAGTTTCTTTTCTTTTTTCCTTTTTTTGTTCTTTTAAGACAGGGTCACAATCAAGTCCCACTAGCCTTTAACTTACTATGTATTAGTCCACAGTCAAATTCGCCACAGTTCTGCCTCAGGTAGCAAGTGTAGTGGACCAAAGAGGGACTTTTCCTGGAAGAAAGATTTTGGTTCTTCTCCAAGGTGATTGATATCAATTTGGAATATCAATCACTGCTGTTCACCCTTTTGGGAAGTAAGTGGGTGTGGTCATTTTTCTATCCTAAGGCCTGATCTTCAACAAATTCAGCCACAGTTGTCTTCTGTCCTAACCTTATCTGAGGGCCTGGTCCTGACAGCCTCTAATATTTCTAAATAATTCAACTGTCTATCATAGGTGGGGGTCTTTCTCTCCCATCCCCCAATGTCTGAGACCTTTGATAGTTGAAAGTGGTGGTGCCGTGGACGAGAGCATTACTCTGCCCCACATGCCACCTTGGCAGGATACCCTTGCTTTTCTGAAGGGCAGCCTTGGACCCAGTTCCTAGGCAAGCCCCAGGCTCTGGAATATGCTCTCTGGCAGTGGGAGTGGGGCTCTTTGAAAAGACTTTGCAGCTGCACACCTGTAATTTCAGCTGCTAGGGATGTTGAGGCAGGAGAATCACTAGTGTGAGGCCTGTCTAGGCAACTTTGCAAGACCTTACCCCAAAATAAGAAATAAAAAATCTAGGGATGTAGCTCCTGGTAGAGCAGCCCTGGTTCAATCCCTAGGATTGCCAAAAAGAAAAAGATGATGGTTTGCTCCAAATAAATGGTGTGCAAATGCCCCTCCAAGCCAAGGGCCCTCCCCTCTTGGAAGGGTTCAGACCAAGGCAATAGACAGACATGGAATGCAGATGCTTCTGAACGTGAAGGGCAGGCCCTTAATGTTACCCCCTCACCCAGCACGTGTGTCCTTTTGATCAGCCTAAGAAACCCTCCCATCTGCCCTACTCTAGGGGATCCAGGCCCAGGAGGAAGATCTAGTCTCACTGGATAGAGACTAGACAGAGGAGATGGCTCTGGGCAACAGTCTCCTAGGGCAGCCATGTGGTCACAGGCTGCTAGGATGATGAAGATGCCTGCATTTATTTCCAGGCTGCTGGGCCCCCTGCCCTGGCCCCAGCCCTGTGCTGTCTTCAGCTACAGCACATCTTTCATGGAGACAGGGACAGGCTGCTCCAGTGCCCCAGGCCCCAGCCTGAGAGGGCAACGGGTGTTTAATTTGTTAGGGAGCTTTGGTTTTGTTATGGTTGTTTTATGAGACAGGATCTCCCTACTTAGTTGTGGCTGACCTTGAACTCATTATCAGCCCAGGCTGATCTAGAGTTAAGGCGAACCTCCTGCCTCAGATTCCTAAATGCTGGGATCACAAGCACTCTCACACCTCACCCAGCTGCATGATGCCCCTGAGCAGCAGGTTCTATCCCCAGGGCTGTCCCTGAGGCCACTGGCTCCTGGGGAGATTTGTAGACTCAGACAAAGCCCTACACCCTGTGGACTTGCTGACTTCTGACTTAGGACCAAGGAGCTGCCACAGCTGGACCCTGGAGAGCTGGGGGTTCTGGGTGGGGCAGACTACTGAGAACCTCTCACCCTCCTCTCAAGCCTACCATGGCCTTCTCCTCCTTGCCCCAGGGGTCTGAGCTTCCCTCCCAGGTGGCTTGCAGGGCCTGGCCATCAGTGTGGCAGTGCTGGAGGAAGGAGCCACCCACACTGTCCCCACAGGGTGAACAAGCAGGCATGTGAGGCTGGAGGACAGAAAATTGCTCTGCTCATTGAGGCCTCTGCTGGGCCGGGCAGGCGTCACAGCTCCATCCTCCCCTCCTGCCTGCACTCTTGACAGTGCCATTGCCAATGCCAAAGAAGAAGGGACTGTTCTAGAAAAGCTTCTGAGCTTGGCCAAGGAAAGCTGAGAGCTTCCATAGCAGGCCCGGTCATTTACCTCCATGGCTTGCCCACCTTACTGTGTCTGTTGCCCGAAGAACACGTGTGTATATGGTCAGAGCTAAAGCTCATCTCCGTGTGTTCACGTTCAGTGAAGTCCTTGGCTGCCAGCTCTCTCAGCTGTGGCATCACTGAGATGAAGGGGCAAGGCAGTAAAGGTTTAGCAGGTACCTATGCCATGCTGGGGACACACTGGAGCCAAGAAACTGCAGTGAGCAGAAAACAGATAAAGCCACCTTGCTCTCTTCCGCTACCTATAGTCCAGTGTGGGAAAATGTAGCATAATCAAGAATTGAATTAAAGAGAGTTTGCAGCTAGTGAGGCCCGGAAAGAAATGCAAAGAGGTTCCAGGAGGCTAAGTGGGGACTTGACCTAGTTCTGCAGGTTCAAGAGCTGCTGCTTGAGCTGAAATAATGTCCAAAGAGGAGGTGATTAGGACAGTGGGCAAGAAGAGATATTTGATCCGAGAGTCTTGTATGTGCAAAGGCCCTGTGATAAGAAGGATAGTGACACAATTGGGTGACTGAGAGAAGGCCAGGGCGGCTCAAACTAGGGGTAAGGGGTGAAAGGGTTTTGGCCCAGGCCGGATGATGTAGCCGGTAAAGCCAGGAAGCTCCTATCTCCCCCACCCTTAGGAATCTACCTCTGGCGCCAAACTAAGACCAATGGGCTACCTGTGCATCCCTAATGCCCCCCTTAGGCTCCACCCCAAGCTGAGGCTACTTATGTGCCTCACTCTACCTGTTCCACGGAGAGATTGCTGGCCCCGGGGTTGAGATGCCAAGCCCCAGGGGGTCAGGGGTGTCTCTCCTCGCATTCCCAGAATAAAGGTTACTTATATTTCATACTTCTTATCTTTTCAGCCGCCCCCGGTCCTCCTCCCCCCACAGTTCTATCAAGGGGTGTGGGGTGAGTTAGAGACATAGGCATGGGTCAACCAACATACCCTGTGGGCACAGGCAGTGTGTTTCTTTGGGTAGGCAGTGGACAGAGTCAGTTACAAAAGTGGGCACTGGTAGGGACAGCAGAGACAGATTGGTGCCCAGGTGGGAGCATCTTGCTGGAAGAGGAATGTGACAGCCTGACAGCAAGTGGCCCTGGCCTCTGCCCCATGGCTGCTGGGACTGGCCTCTCCTGAGTGCCAGGGATTATGGGGAGATGGGATGCACTCATGGGACAGAGAAGTCAGAACAGCACCGTGCAGTGTGGACAAAGGGACATAAACACCAGCGTGTGGTGGTGCCTTCTGCATTTGCCAGTGGTGCAGCCCTGGAGAGGAGTTCCGAGTCATTCAACTGCCTCATCCGTGAGTGGAGGTGGCAGTCATCACGCCCTCCAGAGGTATTTCAGGGCTAACCTGGGAGCACATTGTTCACGGGCACCTGGTCCAGAGGTCACGCTGCACAGATGTTACCGATGTCTCTTCTGGACTGCACTGCCAGATACACTGGCTTGGCTGACTGAAGGGCCAGGCTCACAGAGCCACATGGCTAGAGGAGAAACCTCTATCCGCTCTGGCTCCCAGGAAGAGTGTCGGGTTCTTGAGTTGGCACAGGGATCTCTCTTTCTCCCGGCCAGGCTGGCATAGGAGCTGCTAAAAGGTGAGATCACAACTGTCTGTGTAGGGCTCCTGTGATAACTCGGACCCTGGTACAAAATCCAAGGAAGCAAGAAATTGAAATTTGAGAAGCAAAGGCTTTATTAGGTAAAATCCAGGCCTGGTGACAAGTCTCCGGGAGCCAATTTGGAGACTGCGCACCTCACAGCTAAAAGTCAGAACTTTTTATCTTGTAAATCCACAAACAGCTGCTGGTCACACAATGTAAGGAGGGGGATGGGGGTGTGACGCACTACAAAGCAGAAAGGCAATTGCAAGTCTCCCTGCATACTAGCAAGTTTAGACAAGAAGAAATCTTGTTTTTCTTAGCAAAGAATAGAGAAGTCTAAGAGCAATTAACAACCTTAGTTACCTTACTTTAGCACCACAACTGTTATTTGTAGAGGGCAACAATGGTTAACATATCAATTAGGTAAGATTTTACAGTTCTTTACAGAGGAGAGCATTGATTAACATATCAATCCTTTGC